AATCCTTCTGGGCACAGCTCTACAAGGGGGACTCCTCCCTCTGGGCCCAGCCAGGTTTCAGTAATACATGCCAGGAAATACAAATTTCCTTTATTATATTTTTCTGGGATTATACCTAATACTATATTACATGGATTTTCACGCAGAAGGTAATGCGGTCTTTCTTCTCATATCATTATATTAAACTGAAAAACATTACTGCACAAAATGCTGAAGAATCACTGTTAGTTGGCATTAATGGACTAGGAAAACATTGTCCAACCTAAGAATCACTATGGAATATATATTCAATAGCACTTATTCAATCATAAGTGTTTAACCAGAAATAGCCTACTTCTCAGCATTCACAAGTTCCTATCAGTTATAGTAGCCATTTAATAGCATTTTTATCCCCTACCCCAATTTTTTAAAGTGTGGGAGTCATAATAAAGCATCCTCATGAAGTCTTAATGAACATTTGATTAAAAGGCCATAATGCCTAGAAACTTCTTTTCATTAATACCTCTCTGTTGTGCACATCTTGAAAAGCCTTTCAGGACTCTGCTGGGAAGTGTATAATTTATGCATTTAGGCCCCTCTCCCTGTAAAAACTTCATTCATTCTGTTTCATCCTCTGAATTGTGATGGAGCCATTATTCAAGGCAACATCTACAGCCTCAAACAATAGTTGGCTTCTTTTTATGGAAGTAACCTTAGACAATGTCAGACAGCATCTGATGCCAGATTATAGAAACTGCAACCATTATGTCTATATTATTTCGGAACTACAGGAAATGCCAGAAATGTGACACAAACAGACAGATTCATCCTTAAGAGGCATTGTTTTCCTACCCTCACATGAAGAAGGTTTTAGCTCAAGCCAAGGGTATCTACAAGAAGAGATTGTAAAGGAATTTAAAGCTGATTTCCGTTTAATCAGGAAGTTAGTCAAGAAGTTTGCAATCTAAACATAGAAGGAAGCATGAGAAAGAAACTCATCTTTATTGTGTTTAATATAAAAGAGGAGATAGGAACTTGCATTGACTTTCAAGATTCTTTTAATAAATTGTACCACAATGATGTATTCTGCAAGGTCTGCTTTTTAACCAGGCCTACCTGAAATGCCTAGTAGGCATGTTTTTTTTTTAAAAGGCAAAAAAAATGTCTGCAGTCATGCAATTGAAACCTGACCCTGTTTTATGTGCCTAAAACACACAGTCATCACCTCCTCCCCTTCCTGCCATGAGCTGTTACCTTTCAGAAATGTTAGAATTCAACTCCTGTTAATCACAAGGTAGAATAGGGAAAGGACTGAAATATAATAATATTTAGTGGTATGGCTTTCAGCTTTTAATGAGACGTGTCACCATCTCCTCAGATGAATTTGCCCTCCTAAGAGCAGACAAAACCCTGGGAGACGGGAGAGGTCTGTTCTCAGAACCAACAAGAAAGAGCGAAGTTCTTCTGCCTTTTGGATCGCACCCACCTGGAACCTAGTGGTGCACTTCTGGACTAATCCAGAAATCCAAGTCTTTGAGAAACTTCTCCCTAGTGCATTGTTCTCTTTCTAGAGCCAGGTTTAGGTATTTGGAAGACAGCGTCCTGAAATCCACACTGCTCTTGCATCTTTGATCATACCAACCGTGTAGGGCTAGACTGTTCTGCATAAAGCTTTGAGCAAAAGGCAATCAAGTGCTGAAGAAAAACATCAGTTCTACCTTTCCCTTGTACTAGCATGTCCAGAATCTGACCTGGCTTTCTTATTAGAGCTTGGTATTGCTTGTACTATTTCAAGATCTGGGCTTGGCTTTGATTCTCACTGGAGCTTTTTTTCTACTGATACTGTCCTTTACATTCCTCAGGGTTGTAGACTATTGCATATTCTTTTGTCTTACATATAGAAATGTGGGAGATAGTACTTATATACTGCTTCGTAGAGCTTTATAGCCCCCTCTATACAGTTTACAGAATCAGAATATTGGCCCCAACAATCTGGGTCCTCATTTAAAAGGATGTAAGTCTGAGTCAACGGTGAGAATCAAACTTCTGGCAGTTTGGCAGAGTTAGCCTGCAGTACCTCATTCTAACCACTGCACCACCACAGCTTGTGTTATCTCTCTTATTTTTCCTTGACAAAGAAACTCTCTTTCTCTTTTCTCTTTTCTCTCCATATTTTTTTTCTTCTCCACCTTGTTCTTCTGAAAAGATTGATGATTATTCTGTAGCAGGGGTTTCAAACTCAGTTTCATGGAGGGCCGCATCAGAGTTGTGTTTGACTCAGGGGACCGAAGTGGATGTGGACATGGCAAGCTCAACGTCACTTGTGTCAGGGATGCCTATGGTGGCTTGAGCAATCTGCCAGTGAAAACAGGCTCCCAAGCCCGTTTTTGACTGCAATGGCCTCCTGCAACCCTCTCCAAGCAAAAATGGAGCTTGTGAAGGTTGTGCATGAAGCTTGTGAGGGTTGTGCAGGGTCCTCCCAAGTTCCATTTCTGCTGGCCGGGCCTTTGCTGCTTCCAGGGCGGCCCCATGAGCCAAATCTAAGTATCCTGCATGTCAGATCTGACCCCTTGGCCTTGAGTTTGACACCCCTGGCCTATAGCAATAGACATACAATAGGATATTATAGTACACAGTACATGTGTATTTCATATTATTCCCCTAATGACATTCAGATTTCTATAACTACTATACATGGTTAGATTTTGTTGAGCTGTTTATTTTCTTCTCTCCCGCCCCCCTCTTTTCCATATTTTGTACCTCAGCAAACTTTGGGGATTTCGCTGATAACATTTATTTTTCAGGTCTATTTGGTCTACATGTGGGTTGTATTTAGAAAATCTGTTCTTAATCTGCTATTGATATATAGGCTTGTATTTTTATATCCATAAAATTAGGTCACATATGGATTTCATAGTCTCTGTCATGATGCTTTTTTCCCTACATGGGTTTAATCTATATAATGTAAGTTAAACTTTAAAAATTGACAAATATTTTGCATAGTAATATTATGCAAAAGTAGCTAGAATCATTTTAGCAAATATTTCTCAAGTAATTCCGATTACTATATGTAGGCAGATACATCTTGCATGTTGAACGAAATGTCATTTTCATCATCCTGCTAAACAAAAATCATTGCTCCCTCTCTTTCCCTCCCCAACAATTGGCTTTCACTATGTTAAGTGTTGACAAATCCTACAATTTTGTGGAAGGTACATATCCTTTTAAGAAAAAAAAATCCCAAAACAATGTTGAGGTTTTCTTTTTTTTTAAATAATAATAATAATAATTTTATTCAGCATTACAATTAAAAAGGAAAGACCCAAAATAAAAAAGGAAAACAATAAAAATGAGAAACAGAAGAAAAGAAGAACAATGTGTATGTATATGTGAGAGTGAGTGTGTGGAGTGGAATGGAATAGAATAGAATAGAATAGAATAGAATAGAATAGAATAGAATAGAAATTCTTTATTGGCCAATTTCATTACAAATAAAGGTGTCCCACTCTGTCTGAATGGGCCCATAAATTTGAAGCATAAACAGTTAAAACAATGGATTCAGGCCACTTGTTATGTCAAATAAATGACTTTTTAAAGTTCAAACAGAAAAAATGAGAGTGCTTTTAAAATTAGTATAGTTCTTCTTGCCATCATTCTGGTTCTGCTTTTTTAAATTACCTATCAGCGCAAATCTAGAATTACTGTTCCTTGGGGAATGTAGTTTCTCTTTTATTGCTTTCATTTACTGAAATGGAACTGAAAGATGTACTCTGAGCTACTTAAATTAGATTTAGTATCTAATTATAATTTGTTTTAATCAAAGTAGAACAGATGTTAGCATTCCATTGATATGCTTAAACTGATTTTAAGGGGGGGGGAAATGTCTAAAAGATGGGTGACGAGTCTTAGGGCCAAAAGGAAAAGAGGAACAAACCTTGTCAGGAACAATGTTCTGTAACATAGTATACATTTGTTTGATAAACAAATACCTTCCTCCCAAACAAGCAGTATTAATGGGGCTGATGGAAGTTGTAGTTTAACATACTTGGTGGGCTCCAATTGGAAACTGTTGTTCTACCACTTGTAGGTAGTTACTTTTAATATTTTAGGTACCCAACATTCTTTATGGCTTTGAGGAAGATATATTCTTTTGTGAAAGACAGAAACATTTCCATGTCACCAGTTGAAAGTCTTTTGCTTTACATCATTAAAAAAACCCACTTTGAGCAATAATATGGGCAAAGAAAGGGTAGCTTGTGGCAGTGTTTGAAATGATATTTTAAAAATTGTAGTAATTCAAAGAGGCAACATTTTCCCCCAAAAATTATGTTGCAGGCAATGCTCCACTTGGAATACTATTTTATCATTTGGTTTTTGTGCAAAAAATTATAACAAGGACACCGGAAACCCAGGACAAGATGCCATTGTTGAAAATCAATGTAATGTTCCATTATTAGGAAGGGAACAAACAAAAACCATAGCATACTAAAGCAGGCATAGCATTTTAATTCAATTCAAAAGCCACTAAAAAGAAAAGAAGCTCAACCAAATACTCGTATCCTGCCTATTTGTATGGCATTTATCAGTCTTCTTACATAAATGCCCCATATAATGTTAGAGTTGACACACTTCTATTCCCAGCCATCAAAAATTTCATTTACAGTCTGAAGCTTGAAGTTAAGCAGGAACTTAAGCATTCTGCTGAATAGTACCTGATATTCTTTTGTTTCCTAGTGAATTCTTTAAATTCAATTAAAATCTGGCTATTCTTATTCCAACCAGCAGAATTCTTCATATCATATTTAATTAATGGCAACTGGTAGCACTTGGTGTTATTTATTTCTGTCCCTCTCTGTTATTCTTTTAAACATTTAATAAAGTGGATGGATAAAAAGTTCCTTGTTTTTATTGGTTTCCACACTTGATTGTTAAATTTTCTGTGTTCATTACTGATCGTTTGCAATTGGCTGTCGGAAAGTTATGAGATGCAGGGAACTTTAGCATGATGCCTTTGGGGGTAATTTTTGTACATTTCCACAGGACTTGTGCATAAAATATTTTCACTGTATAATACACCGCCTGTGTATTCATTGAATGCTTTTATTATTAGATCATCATAAGGTTAGAACAACTTTACTATTCACACCAAAAATCCAGTGAATCTATTATGAATCTATTAAGTTGTTGAGACTCTAGAAAAAGTGCAGAGAAGAGCTGCAAAGATGATTAGGAGACTGGAGGCTCAACCAAACGATGAATTGTTTTGAGAATTGTGAATGTCTAGTATAACAAAGAGAAGGACTAGGGGTGACCTGATACAGTCTTCCAATATTTGAGTGGCTGTCACAAAGATGGAGGGAGTCAACCTATTCTCCAAAGCATCTTGAGAGCAAGACAAGAAGTAATGGATGGAAGCTTAACAAAAAAAGGCTCAGCCTAGAATTAAGAATTTTTTTTCCTGAGAGTGAGAAAATTAATCTGTGGAATTGCTTTCCTCCAGACATTTTGTATGTTTTATCACTGGAAGTTTTTAAGCGATTGGACAACCATTTGTCCAGAATGATACAGGATCTCCTGCTTGAGTAGAAGGCTGAACTAGAAGACCTTCAAGGTCCTTTCTAACTTGACTATTCTGTTATTATTCTCTTTTAAATAATGGCCCACAGCGTAGAGGTTAAGATATTTTTCCTTAACTTCATGTATGTCAACATATGGGTTTAATGGGGCTACTAATTTTTATGGAACATGAATGAACATTCTGCATTGTTAAGATAAATACAGTAGACTATATGCTATATTTATATTTACAATGTTTCATGCTTCTTATAATTTCTATTCCTTCTTTACAGTTTGAAATGTTGACAGGGTCACTACCATTTCAGGGGAAAGACCGAAAGGAAACAATGGCACTCATTCTCAAGTGAGTAGCAAACTCCCAACTTGTATATATATTTATAGCTATAGCTTATGTTCATTAACTCAGAATAAACTTTTGGGGTTACATAAATTGTCTCATAGAAAATACAAGAACTGACATTCCAATTATATCTAAAACACAGTAGCAAATAGTCCAGGGACCACTCTTAATCAAGGAGCTGAAAACTCCAGCAGTTTATTAAAAGTCAAATCCACTTTTAATTCCAACTTACAGTATGGGAACCTATTTAAATTTTGGAAATCTGGGATGTTCTCAAAGCCCAATAGACTTTACATTTCCCTACCAGGGAACTTAGCAGTGCTGCCTTAATCTAAGGCACAATGTATTGCATTGCATAGCTGGATTTTCAAAACATTAGTGGATTTTTTCTCATTAAAGTTCATTGACTAGCTTTAGGAAGTCTTAATGTTGACAGAAATAGATAAGAGCTAAAACACAAACATAAGCACACCCATAAACACACACAAACTTAGTATGAATTGGGCCAAATTACCTATGTAAACTTCCTATCCGTACATCAACATCTTCCTTGGTCGTAATTTTGCAATTGAATGATTGTTGCAAATGAAACCTAAAAATATGCACCATAAAAGAAATGCATATGTAGAATGTACATTTAAAAAAAGCACACACAAAAATGCAGGTGAATGTTCATATAGGATTTTTATTTTGTTTGTTTTATTTGCCAAATTCTAAATGACATGGCTGAAAGAGCGAAGGATCAGAGAAGAATTTCACAGAAACAAGACTGAGAGAACAGTCCATTTGCTAACTCTTTCAAATAGAAAAATTATAACTATATATATATATGTGTGTGTGTGTGTGTGTGTGTGTATATGTGTGTGTATATATATGTATATATATGTGTGTGTGTGTGTGTGTGTGTGTGTGTGTTTATTTGTGCTGATAAATAAATAAAGGGAGACTAGTATAGATCTATTTCAAGCTATTTAGCTCTCATCAGCTACCCATACCCTTACTGGGATTATATATATATATATATATATTATCTATATATTATCTATATCTATATCTATCTATCTATCTATCTATCTATCTCTATCTATCTATCTATCTATCTATCTATCTATCTATCTATCTATCTA